CAGATTCTGTGTCTCCCTCTCTCTGACCCTCCCCCATTCATGCTCTGTCTCTCTCTGTCTCAAAAATAAATAAACGTTAAAAAAATTTTTTTTTTAAAAAGAGCATCTTTTATTATAACGGGACGTGACTGCTGTTATCGCAGTGCTAGCCACTATCTGGTTAATACCTGTGTACTTTCTGCTTAACTTTTCGTGGCCGAAAACGTTGAACGTACACAAAAGTAGGGAGAACGATATAACGACCCTTCCAAACAGTATTCATCACCCAGCTTCAACAAGTTATCAATTCCTAGCCACCCCTCCCTCGTGGTGGATTTTTTTAAGCAAGTCATAAACAGTATGGTTAAGTAATTCGGTTTAGTTCTAAAAGATGACGAGTCTTAAAGAACAAAAACCATATTAACGTTAGCAGGCCTAAGAAATTAACAGCAATATTGACAATGTCATTGAATGTCCCTGATTGACTGAAACATTTGTTGCGGTTGGTTTCTGCGTGTTTTGCTTTCACACCTGCCCCTGTTTCGTTTGGTTACCAGCTGTGATTCTGGACCCTTTGTCACACAAGTGGTGGTGAACGAGGGGATTAGCGTCAGGTCTCTGTGGCTTTTCAATAGGCCGCCCGCTAGCACGTCCCTCAATGGGAACAGTGGGGGTAAATAGAGTCTGTGTTAGACAAACATGCAGAGTATGTGTGGCTGTTCTTCTGTGCGTTTTCCCTCCTGTCCTGGTGGATGATGCCGTGCCCGTGTCTCCGTATTTGGGGACGGAGTGCAGTTGAGGCAAAAGTTCTGACCTTTGCTGAGCACTTTCTTTTTTTTTTTTTTTAATTTTTTTTTTCAACGTTTATTTATTTTTGGGACAGAGAGAGACAGAGCATGAATGGGGGAGGGGCAGAGAGAGAGGGAGACACAGAATCGGAAACAGGCTCCAGGCTCTGAGCCATCAGCCCAGAGCCCGACGCGGGGCTCGAACTCACGGACCGTGAGATCGTGACCTGGCTGAAGTCGGACGCTTAACCGACTGCGCCACCCAGGCGCCCCAAGCTGAGCACTTTCTAACATTGTTCAGGAACAGGTATATGGTTACCCTTGCACCTTTGTTTGCTGAAGATTTCCGGTTGAATCTCACGTGGGTTTGCTTTTCAGTTTCGATGAAGTGTATTATGGGCAGTACATCTCTTTTTACATGAAGCGGATCTTCTTTTTGGATGGCAGTGGACCACCATTTGGCCACATGCTGCTGGCACTGGGAGGTAGGATTCGTTACCGAGAGAAGTATCCTTTTAAGACTTCTAAGTGAGGGCGGTTTGTGGGTTCAGGCCCCACATTGGGCTCTGTGCTGACAGCTCGGAGCCTGGAGCCTGCTTCAGATTCTGTGTTTTTGTGTGTGTGTGTGTGTCTCTCTCTCTCTCTCCCTCCCTCTCTCTCTCTCTCTCTCTCTCTCTGCCCCTCTCCCACTCACTCTCTTTCAAAAATAAACACTAAAAAAAAAGAAAAATTAAAAAAAAAACAACTAACTGAATAAAATTGTGGCAGTTTATTAAGAAAAGTAATAATGAAATAAGACCTGTAAGTGAAATTTCTGATTATTTGTCATTGTTTCCTTGTTCCCTGCCACGGTCTGGCAACTCCAGAACCGTTTGCTGAATGGCTGAGTTACCGATCAGTCTTCTGTTTCAGGTTATTTAGGAGGATTCGATGGTAACTTCTTGTGGAACAGAATCGGAGCAGGTAAAAGTCATCTTCATGGCCCTTATACTGATGTGTACGTATCACAATGGAGGGAGAGTGGCTTTCATAGGGATTAACAAGCGTTGTTTATGACGTGTCCGGGGCATGGGAAGTTCGGTCTAAGCGGAAGACTTTGGAAAGATCTGGTAACTCTCTTAGCGTTTAGTCGTGGTAACTGTCGCATCCTGAGTTTTTGGCATACGTAGCACGTTGCATACGTGGCATCGGACGACAGTCACTTTTCTGTACGTGTAAATTTTCTACATTGCCTCAATGTTTTGGGGGGAAAGTGAGGTAAATTTGTAAATGAGTAAAGCACCAATTCCAGAATCATCGGGCGTTGTTTTTAGGCGTAATGAGAGCTAGGTTTTGAGTGCGCGGCTTGTTTCAGAGCTTTCATTTGTAGCTTGTACCTGCGTTCCTGACACGGCCCCTAGTTTTGCAGACTTGCATTTTCGGTTCTGTGAACACGATGCCCTGTTGGAAAACACGGCTGCAGCATATGAAGCTGTGTGCGTGGTGCATTCAGCTGAGTGTGGTTGTTCTCTCAGAATACAGCAGCAACGTGCCCGTGTGGTCTCTGCGCCTGCTGCCCGCCCTCACGGGGGCCCTGTCGGTCCCCATGGCCTACCAGATCCTGTCGGAGCTTGGTTTTTCTCACTGTGCCGCCATGGGGGCCGCCCTGCTGATGCTCATCGGTAAGACCGGGCCTCGGCCTGCTTTGGGGTCGCGCAGGGAAGAACCGAGCACTGGCCTTTGTTATGTGTGAGCGTGCCGCCCAGATGTGCTCCCACCCCCCGCCCCCTGTGGTGTCTCCTGCTCCCAGGATGGAGGGAAGTGTGCCCGGTTCGCCCAGATTTGACTCTGGGCGTCACCTGACTCCCAGGCTGCAGGGTGGCGGGACCGTGTGTTCAGACTTGCGCAGTCCTGTGTGGGGGTGGGGCTGCCCAGACGGGGCTCCCGGGTGCTCCGTGGTGCCTCCGCCTCCAGCCAAGTCTGGCCCGGGTTTATGGACAACTGAAAACTAAGATGAGAAGTTATGTGAGAAAATACAAAGGACTGGGGTTTGTGGAGTGAGTGGCCCCTCTAACGGGGGCCCTGAACCAGTGTCCTGTCCTAACGGGCAGCCCCACCAAGTTGGTATTCCTTGGGCAAATGGGAAAAATAGAGACTCAGAAGGGTTCGGCGACTCGCCCAGGGTTGCACAGGTCTTGCTGGGCATGATTCTCGCCTAAGAACCTGCCTTTGTGGTTCTGGACCACGCCCCGTCCGGCCCCCCAGTCCCGAACTTCCCACCTCCACGTGCCGTGACTTTTAGGGCAGGCCCTTCCCGTGGGTGCTTCGACCTTCGTACATCTGCCCTCACTACATCACAACCGACACGTGTGTCCTCTTTGCAACAGAGAACGCTCTCATCACCCAGTCAAGGCTAATGCTTTTGGAGTCCGTGTTAATATTCTTTAATCTGTTGGCTGTGCTGTCCTACCTGAAGTTCTCCAACTCCCAAAAACAGAGGTATGCAGGATGTGACACGCCCTTCCTAGTTCGAGAGAAAGAAGGGCTCGGGTGGTTTGTTGACCTGAGACGGTCTGATGCCTTTTCATTTCGGAGAGCCGCCCGCTGGCTACCTTTTGTCACCTGGACTGGCCCTTTGCTCCTTCCTGACTCCAGAAATACGTTCTCATTTTTGCGTACTTTAAAGTAACTGCAGAGATGTCCCGGCTAAAAAGAGATTTTGCCAGGGCCGACATTTGGGAGACGAGCGTTCGTTTTTCCCGTCCTGAAGCTCGGGGACAGCCAGCTGACCCCGAGAGGTCTGAGAAACGTGCCCTCTCTGGCCTTCGGGTGGTCTTTGGCGACCCGTCCCCAGCTTCGCTCTTCCTCTTTGACCCCAGGCCTTTCTCTCCGAGCTGGTGGTTTTGGCTGACGCTGACCGGAGTGGCCTGCTCCTGTGCCGTGGGGTGAGTTTGGTCCACGGGTCTGAGGCGGCGTTGGCGGCCTCCTGCTTCTGAGCCTCGTCGCGACGGCTTCTCATCGTGTCCTTTCAGCGTCAAATACGTGGGTGTTTTCACGTACCTGCTTGTGCTCGCTGTCGCTGGCGTCCACGCCTGGCACCTGATAGGAGACCGGAGTCTGTCAAACGTAGGCGCTAAAGTAGAGCGGGGCGTGTGGCTGTCCCGGGGTGGGGCAGAGGGCTGTGCCGGGAGCGGCTGGCGGAAAAGGCTTCTCAAAAGGCAGACCTCGGTGAGCCCCCCCACGGGCAGCCGCGTGGAGCCCCGAGCCCTGCTGCTGACCTGCGTGCCTTTGCGTGGGGCAGGACGTGACGTGTCCCCCTCCCGTGTAGGTCTCTGTGCTCTGTCACCTGCTGGCCCGCGCGGCAGCTCTGTTGGTCGTCCCGGCCGCCATGTACTTGCTGTTCTTTTACGTCCACCTGAGTCTGGTCTATCGCTCTGGGCCCCACGATCAAATCATGTCCAGTGCCTTCCAGGCCAGCTTGGAGGTAAGACGCGGTGTCGCGGCCCCCTTAGAAAGAGGACAGGGGCAGGGCGCCTGGGTGGCTCAGTCGGTTGAGCGTCCGACTTCGGCTCAGGTCATGATCTCGCGGATCGTGGGTTCGAGCCCCGCGTCGGGTTCTGTGCTGACGGCTCGGAGCCTGGAGCCTGCTTCCGATTCTGTGTCTCCCTCTCTCTCTGCCCCTCCGCCATTCATGCTCTGTCTTTCTCTGTCTCAAAAATAAATAAAAACATTAAAAAAAGAGGACGGGGTGGACTCAAAGTTTTCTCATATAAACGTCGAGTGTTTAGGGGAAAACCAAGTCAAGAGGAATCCGCCTTAGTATTTCTAAATTAATCCTGCACATGCTGACGGTGAGCTATTGCACGAAGGGGTTAGCTCTTCAGTGTGACCTGCCCCGGGACCTCATGACGTCCTGTAAACTCCGGGCAGCTGCAAATGCTTCCGAGGACGAGCTCGACTCTGGCGTTCGTTCATACTGACTTTGCGGCGATAGTGAAATGTGCCAGTCTGGGCGGTTAGGACAGGAGACAGGAGTCAGACGGACCCGCTCCTGAGTGCTGGTCTGGGTGTTTGCACAAATCTGTCAGCTCATCCCGTTCCTACTTTTCTCACCTTTTGAATGGACAGGGTTGCCCTTCTCCGAAGATGCTGTTGGATCTTAGGGGTGTTGTGGAAGGGTAGGTGAGCGCCTGGCCCCAGAGCCAGCATCCAGTCCTCAGCAGCTGTGTTAGCGATTACCTAACGTGACATTACGGTTACGTCCCCTGTCATCACAGTTATGTGACGTGATAACAACGGCCACTACTGTGAATATGTCCCCCCCCCCCATGGTGGTGTGGCCATCAGTGAGGCTGGTGAGATCGGCCCCCCCTTTCTCACTTGCCCCCTTTTCGCTTTTGTCTTAGGGAGGGCTGGCTCGGATCACGCAGGGCCAGCCCCTGGAGGTGGCCTATGGTTCCCAGGTCACTCTGAAGAACGTTTTTGGCAAACCCGTGCCCTGCTGGCTTCATTCCCACCAGAGCACCTACCCCATGATGTAAGGAAAGTGGCCGTTGTAACTCGAACATTGCAACACGTTTGGTTTGTTTCACACTTCGGCTGTTACCAGCTTTCACTGTAAATGAAGTTTATGGGGGGCGCCTGGGTTAAGCGTCTGACTCTTGATCTCAGGGTCATGAGTTCAAGCCCCGCGTTAGGCTCCACAGCGTGGAAAAAAGGAAAAAGGAAAGAAATACACGAGACAGAAAGACTTTGGGCTCTGAGAGTCTGATTATCAATAAACGTTGTCATTTCTGTGTATAAAACAGAGGGACTTGAGGAGCAGGGGGCCCGGGCTCTGCCGTGTCAGGTGTGCGCCCTCCACGCTGGACACAGCCTCCTGCCGGAGTCTTCCAGCCCCGCTTAGACTTAGACATTCGTCCTCCCCCCCCCCCCCCCCCCCCCCCCCCCCGCGGCCCCGCACCCTGCTAGGTGACATTCTCAGGGACCTGGAGAGGAGGCTGCTTGCCGCCCGCTGGCAGACGCGTTTCTGTGTTGGTTCCTTCACAGATACGAGAACGGCCGAGGCAGCTCGCACCAGCAGCAGGTGACCTGTTACCCCTTCAAAGACGTCAACAACTGGTGGATCGTAAAGGACCCTGGGAGGTGCGTGCAGGTGCTGGGCCTCCAGGACAGGGCTCGGCTCCTGGGCTCCTCGCCGTGTGCACCTCCTCCCTCGGAGCTCCGAGAGCCGCTCCGTGCTGATGAGCCGCAGTGGGGGGGTAGATCCTTCCTCCGTGAACTGGCCGCTCTCTGTCCCACCCCTGGGTTCTGTGCAGGTGCATCCCAAACGCTCCTCTGTCACCATCCACCCCACCTTCCCCGGGCATTCACCTGCTCAGGCCTCCCAGACGGAGGACCCCCCTGTCCCCCCTCCCAGTCCACTCCGTCAGCCAGGCTGTGCTGTTGCCCGTCCAGTGCAATCCAGACCTCTGCCCTCGGCCCTGCGTTTCTGGAGCGAGACAGGCTCCACGCGTGCTGCCCCTCTGGCCGGAACAGTCCTACTCAGCTGGCTCCTCTGGGAGGCGGCCTGGACCGCCCTCCTCCCTGTGGGTGGCCCGATGGCTTCCCTGTGTCCGTCGTGGCACAACCGTTGGCTGCTGCTTAGCTTGCTCTCTCGGCGGCTGTGTTCCCCATTTACTGCAGTGACGTGAGGCCAGCGGCCACGTCTGACTGTTTGACCACACGCACGGTGCCGACCCGACGGGCCCTTAGTACGCTTTCATCGAGGGCTTGCCGGAAAACAGATTCCATCCGTTTGAGCGATTTCTGGGCGGGTGCAGGTGTGTCTGCCACTCCGCCGTTTGTAGAGAAACACAGAGCAACCAGAGAGTGGTGATGGCGAGCGGGGTCACTACAGGAAGCTTGGAAAGTGGCCTGAGGTCTCAGGAAAGAGTTAACCAGACTTGTGTGTTTTGTTTTTTACGAATTCACCTCCCATAAGGTACAGATTTCCGCCGGTGGGAGAATGTGGAGCCCTTGCCGCCCGGTGGGCGCGGTGCTTCTGCGGGGGCCCGAGCTCGGTCCCAGCCAGCCCTCTGTCCCCGCAGGCACCAGCTGGTGGTGAGCAACCCTCCGAGGCCCGTGCGGCATGGAGACGTGGTGCAGCTGGTGCACGGCATGACCACGCGCTTCCTCAACACGTGAGTGAGTGTCCCTGCTCGGCCCCCTCGGTCCCCCTCGGGCTCTCCGTTCGGCGAAGCCGCGTCTGCCTCCCCTGGGGCGGCCCCGCGCGGGACCCTGCACTCGGTGGGCGCGAAGGAGCAATGCGAGCCCGGGAGGCCCCAGAGCTTCGAAAGACAAGTTTGGCGCGAGCACGGGAGTTGCTTCCCGCACAGGATGAAGTGAAGTCCGGTTGCTTGAAGCAAACGTGAATTCGAGAAGGATTCAAACGCGGGCCCAGTGGGGCTGGGAAAGGTCCTTACGTGTGGGTTCTCAGCCCTCACCTCACCTGACCCGAGCCGTCTGCACATCGATGGGCCCGGGCCCCGTCTCTTCCTCCACCCGGCTTCGTGGGTCATCTCACGGCTCTCCAGGACGCGTGAATTGTGCCTCGGGTCCCGGCCTCCCCCCGGAGGCCACACCGCAGACCTTGGCTTTGGGGTACAGCAGGTTCCCAGCCTCCGGCCTGCTTCTCTCTGGAAGGAGTCAGTTGCTGAGCCGCCCCCTGGGTCCTTCTCTGTGTTCCCTTCCTCTCCTCAGATAAGACCACTTCTTCCCGTCCGCGTTCTCACTGCGGCCCAGGCCAGGCCTGATCCCTGTGCTGTTGGGGCCGGTGCCCCGACCTCTGCCTCTCTCCCCCCACCCCTGACAGCGGCGCCCTGTGAACACAGTGCTGGCCTTTTGGCCAGAAGCACTCCAGTGGATTCCACGGTGTGGCCCTGACACTCAACGTCCCCACTTCTCCTGGCTGCAGGCCCCCTGGTCACCTTCCCTGCAGTCACCCTGGCCTCTGCTGTCCCCACACGACCAAGTGCTGCACCCCTGGGGCCTTGACGCTTGCTCCATCGGCCTGGAAAGTTCTTGGACCCACGCCCCCATGGCCTGCTGTGTCCACGTGTCCACTGAAATGTCACCTCCTCAGAGCGTTTCCCGGGCACTTTCCCTGCTACTTTGGTTTTATCGGTGGTGCCTACAAGCCTGGCACTCTCTCGTCCGTATGTGTGAAGGTCTGCCTTCTGCAGGGTGTGAGATGTACTGCGTTCCCGGTGGGGTCCCCAGCTGCTCCATAGTGCCCAGCGCACAGTAGGACACAGTGAACGAGGGTGGTGGGTGTTTCTGGACATTGGAGGTCGCCGGCACCGAGGGCACCTTGTCCCCCAACAGTGCTCTTCGTGGCCCAGACGTTTCTGAGGCCTGGCTGTCCGGGAGCTGCCGGATGCACGTTGTCGTGCCTCTGGGGGATCGTGGGCGCTTGTCCAGCGACACGACGCCTCTGTCAGACCCCTCGTCACGTGTCCTTTCCCCCAGAGGTGTGACTGTGGCAGGCGGCTGCCTTTTCCGTGTCACGTTTATCAGCAAGCCCCAGGGTGGTGCGTCCTCGGGGACCCTCGAAGACCTCGTGAACGCCTTTTCGGAGCAGCCTGAGGCAGTCCCTCCGCAAGCCTGTTTCCTTCTCCAGGCACGACGTCGCGGCGCCCCTGAACCCCCACTCACAGGAGGTATCCTGCTACGTCGACTACAACATCTCCATGCCTTCTCAGAACCTCTGGAGACTGGTGAGTCCCCGCCGGAAACGGGGCTTAATGGCCGTCAGTACCGCATCCTTGTAACGTGACCGTTCAGAACCACCGTTTGGAGCGGTTCCGATTCAGGGGCGCCCAGGGGCTCCCTCGGCGGAGCGGGTGACTCTTGATCTCAGGGTCCTGAGTTCGAGCCCCACGTTGGGTGTAGAGATGACTTGAAAATCTGGAGGGTGGCTCAGTCGATTAAGCATCCAACTCTGGATTTCAGCTCAGGTCATGATCCCAGAGTCATGGGATCCAGCCCCGCATCGGGCTCTGCACAGTGTGTGGGGCATGCTTAAGATTCTCTCTCCTCCTTGTTCTCTCGACTGAAAAATAAAATCTCAAAAAAAAAACCAAAAAAAACCAATTCTGATTTCAATGTAAAATTAGTGATTTTTAGTCATAAGGTCATAGGTGTTTTCCTTGGGGACAGAGACTTCCCCTGAGGCAGTGACGAGGTTACGGAACGGTGGGTCAGTGCTCCACGCTGGCTGTATGGTTCGCATGGGCCTCCAGGTGAAGGTTCCTTCTGACTTGGTTGCTTGTTCAGCCTCCAGGTCACTGAACACATGGGGTCGGGGGCCTCGGCCCCCCTCCCTTGACCAGGGGGGCCTGATGTTAACCAGCGCCCCCCCCCCCCCCC